ACGTGTGAAAAAGAAATGGTCAAAGTGCAGGAATTCAGTTTCCTGGCAGTGTTGTGTCAAATTGATTAGCACCAAACAGCTAGCCTGGAAATAACCCATCCCATCAACCAATCGATTGTTTATAAATCTTACTAGATTCTTTAAAAATACAACCAGTCTTTCTTCCTGAAACAATGAATCATGGATGTTCTGTAAGAGTAACCTAACACAACACAACTATTTGATCAAATTCAGATAAAAATGTCTAACAATGATTGGTTCACAGTGTTCCCAAATTACAAGGCAAGATCATGCTGTTGAGCTAAGCTAGCAAACTGCTCTGAACCACTTTCTTGGCAGTCAGTGAGGTTTCAACTTGGGGGGGGGTCAGAAGTCACTGCTTTCAATGTTGGGGTCTTAATTAGGTCTAAACGTCCAAGTCATTTCTCCTGTACAGCAAAATGCAAGTTATTGTTTTTCTTCCAGTTGATTAAAATAGAAAATGATTTAGCAATAAATGAGTTTTTCGGTAATTTTCTGGGCAAAAAGTCTCACATGGGTTTGTTTCATTTCATCAGATGTGAGGATTTGCTCCTATTCTGTCTCATTTTACTGAAAATATAATATATTTAAGGTTCTGATTGTTGAACGGACAAAAAGAAGCAATCTGAAGACATCACCGTTAGGCCCTGGGAAATGTTTCATTTATATTCTGATGTTTTACAGACAAAAGATAAATAAATCACTAGAAAATAAATCACTGGATTAATGAATAAGGAAAATAACCCTAATGTACTGCCCTAGTTATGTGACACTAGATGTAGTTTATTTAATCTTTATTTATACTAATCAGGAAATGGTTCTCTGATCTACATGAGCTCTGTGAGACCTTTCCTGGTCCTATTTTTGGTCATAAAATCAATCAAAATTTACTTATCTTAATGACTGCAGTGTCATACAGTATAATACAGTATTACTATAGGTAATGCTCTTTACTTGGACTGTCTGAGGTGTCCCATATATTACGCACCATCCCCGTTTATTGACAGTTATTTTACTTTAAGGAAATACATTTTGATGCAACATCCCTCACTAATGACTCTCACATGTAGATTATGCAGCGGGGCAAATCATGCAGGGAGTACTGAGGCTCTCTTGTTCCAGAGAAAAATAGACTTATACCTCCGTCTGCCATGTTTTGTCTTGTCTTTTTTTCCTTGTGTTTTCCCTGCAGTCATGAATATTCAGAAAGAAGATATTTATGGCTGCTAATGAATATTCTGCACAAAGTCTGCTCTGTAAATTAGGCGAGCGGAGGGAATTGGATAGCCACTAGGTGCTTCTCAAGGCAACAACAGAAGGGAAGAAATCAACTAACTCTGCTTTTGAAAGGCTAATTTGATGTCATTATTACTATAGTGTACAGCCCCAGATAACATATAAAGGAATGTGCTGCAGGGAGAAACTGGATCATTTCACAATCAAACATCTAGTGGATGCTTTCAAAAATTGTGGTCAGAATCCTTCAATCCGTCAGCCGATGACTCAAAAGTTGCCAAACAGATTTCACGTCCGCGATAAAGCTTCTTAGTGAAGAATCGATAACGGAGCAAAGAGCAGACACAATAATCTATAAGCAGTTCGATTTCGCCCCGCAAGCATTTTCATAAACCTGTAGGTGTGGACGTTTCTCAAGGACGTTCTGATCTAGACTCTTTCTCACCGCTCTCTGGAGCAAATTAATCCCTCCACGCCAACCAAAAATGAAATCTATTTTTAGCGGTTCATTAAAGCCACTTCTAAGTTGAGTCCCACACCAACATTCAGATTGGAGTAATTGGTGGGGTGGCTGTCTGTGTGTGTGTGTGTGTGTAGTGGGGGTGGGGGGGTCGCGTTCCACTCACTATTGAATTTGAATGTTTGCGTTTTGAATGTGCGACTCCTGCATCACTAATGAGGATTTGTAGCGTTAATCAAAGGCACTGCTGTGGGTGCCAATCAACATGATTACAGAGAGGAACTGGTTAGGATCGCTGTGCAGCAAAGGATGCTGGGAGCTGGGCACACGGTTGTCTGTGAGGGAGCGGATTAAGTGATAGGGACAACAGAGAGACAGGTGAGTATTGTTTTCCAACCAGAGACAGCGAGATGAATTGTACGTTTACTGCTAGATTATTAAAAGATTATTCAGGTTGTTCTCAGGTTTTCAAACTGCAGAGCTCCACTATCTCTGTACGCTCGCAGCTTTCCAGCACAAACTGATGCTCTAACCATTACAGCAATAAAAGGTTGAATTCAATTTGGAGCAGAAACACTGGAGGGGATGAGAGTACATCTGACTAACCCTATGCTATCCTAGAGGTGGCGACTGCAGAGAGGGTGTCAGTCCATCTGTTCGCTCAAATCACATCCCTCATCACACATAGCATTAACCATTTCCTGTTCTTTAAACTAGGGATGATGAAGAAATGATCATCCGATAAGGAGACATTTATATTATTTTATTGGGATAATTACATTACAGTCAATAAATTATTGGTTGATATAAATAATCATCAATTGATAAACTTTATGTTCCATGGAAGCAAAAGTATGTTTGTAAGTACATTTTTTAATAAACTTTATTAGAAAAATATATCTATATATATCTATCTATATATATATATCTATCTATATATATATCTATATATATATCTATATATATATATATCTATATATATATATATCTATATATATATCTATATATATATATATCTA